ATGATTTAGAGATTGAAAGGGCACATCAAACAGAAAGAAATGAAAAAGGAGTTAAAAAGAACAGAACAATAATAGTAAAATTTCTTAATTACAAAGAAAGAAACGCAGTTTTTGAAAAATTTACTAAACTAAAACTTTGGAACGAAAAACTAATAAAGATTTTAGTCAAAGAACCACAGAAATTAGGAAAAAGTTGTTTAAAGAAGGAAAGGATATAAGAGCCAAAGGTAAATTTGCTAAAGTTATATACAACAAACTTATCGGGAGGCTGCACAAGCGCGAGTTGGCATATGTGCGAACTGTCATAAGTGCAAAGCGTTGCAAAAACTGGCATATGTGCGAATTGGTATAAGTGCGCCAAAACATTTTGCAAACATTGGCACAGGTGCGAATTGGTATAGGTGAAAACTGGCATAAGTGCGAAGCAGTTACAAAAACTGGCATAAGTGTGAACAGGCATAACTGCGAAATGGCATAAGTGCGCCGAATAAAATTTCATTAGTTGGTATAAGTGCAAATTAGTATTTCGCACTTATGCCGATTCGCACTTATGACAGTTCGCACTTGTGCCAGTTTTTGTAGCTGATTCGCACTTATGCCGGTTCGTACTTATGCCAATGTTTGCAAAATGTTTTGGCGCACTTATGCCAATTCGCACATATGCCAGTTCGAGTTTTTGCAACGCTTCGCACTTATGGCAGTTTGCACATATGCCAATTCGCGCTAAAGCGCGAATTGGCATATGTGCAAACTGGCATAAGTGCATAGCGTTGTTACGCCATTCGCATAATGTTACGCCATTCGCATTTATGCCAGTTCGCACTTATGAAATTCGAGCTTACTCAGTCGTCCCAAACCTATTACGCGCGATTTTTAAATGAATTCTTTTTTTTCTAGTTATTTAGATTTTAAAAATAGATTCTCATTGCCAAAACAATTTTGAATCGCTATCATTTAACTTTTTTCAATCTAACGACTTGGTGCTTGACATTTAGGGTAAAAAGCCAGAAGCGAAAAACTTGAGTCAAGAAGAACTTGAGTCAAGAAGAACTTGAGTCAAGCTCGACTTGAACTTTACATTATAACCAATAACAACAGAGTATGGGTTTTTCCCTCAAAAAATACTCTGCCTCTATTGGTTACAAAATAAAGTTCAAGTCAAGTTTGCTTCTTGCATTCCACCCTAATTCATATCCGGATTTAAACTATTTTAGTGATGTTTAGGAGCTTTGCGAAATAACTGTTCCTACTTCTATAACAAAGAAATAAAAGAATTTCTTTCTCGGGATCATTTAAATGTTATTCATTTTAACATGTGTTACAGGGTGGAATGCAAGAAGCAAGCTTCGACTTGAACTTTACTTTGTAACCAATAGCGGCAGAGCATTTTCTGAGGGGAAAACCCATACTCTGTCGCTATTGGTTGCAATGTAAAGTTCAAGTCAAGCTTAACTCAAGTTCGCTTCTTGCATTCCACCCTAGAAGTCTTAAAAAAATCTTTGAAAATTTGTGTACTTTAATAGAGAAAACTACAAACACATTTAGTATAATTTGCTTAACTGAAACGTGGTGTGAATTTGATGACGCTAAACCTTATTTAAATCTCCATCTTCCAGGTTTTAATATGATCCCAGAAGCGCGTAAAGCAAATAAACGCGGATATGGTGTACTTTTTTATATAACAGAAAATTGGAGGTTTTTTATTAGGCCTGAGAGGAGTATTTCTGATGACAATAAAGAAATTTTAAAAATTAAAACTTAGCCAATAGTTCTAGAAACATACCTATAAGCTGTTGTTATCGCCCACCATCTGGCCATATTGAAAGTTTTAATGCATTTTTGTGTAATAATATTTAAAAAAATAGTTTTAAGGAAAAGAAACTAAATTATATAATTGGTGACGTAAATTTAAATTGTTTTGAAAATCACGTTAATAGCAACATTAAAAAGTTTTACGATAAATTATTCAAACATGGAGCAATTCCACTAATTAACAAACCTACTAGAGTAACCTCAACTTAAGCTAACAACATTATAACAACCGATATCTATAATGAAACTCTTAAAAAAGGTATTATAAAAAATGACGTTTCCGACCACTTCCCTATTTTTCTCTCTATTAATATTGACAACAAATTAATACAACATATAAAAAAGTCATTATCAAGCGCTTTTTCACCGATGCAAATCTAGCATCGTTTAAGAATCAATTATCTTTAGTAAATTGGAATCATATAAAAAGTTCATTTTAAGCTAATGGAGTATACAATACATTCTTTCAAACTTTCTATGAAATATATGATGTAAATTTTCCAAAACGTGAATTTATTATAACCAATAAAAGTTTAAAGTTACCATGGGTCAATAAAGATCTTAGAAAATCCTCAAAAATAAAGCAAAAACTATATATAAAGTACTTAAAAAAACCAACACCAACTTATTAAAATAAAATCATTTATAAAAATTTTGCTAAAATGTTTGAAAGTCAAAGAAAAAAATTTAAAAAAAGATATTACAATGATTTCCTTGAAAAATATAAACATAATTCAAAACGCAAAACATGGCAATTTACCCGGTGGGAAATGAGCTAGCGACTAGCTAGCTTTATAGCGATTTTCAAGCGTTTTTTTTTTTTTCTTATTTTATTCTTTACTAACGTCTCTAATATCTTTAAAAATTCGATTTGTAGTGTTGAGTTTAATAATTAATGAGAACAATTGAACTTTAAACATTGCGATTTTGTAGCAATATGTCGCTAGCTACATATCGTAGCTTTGTAGCTAGCTACAAAATATCTACAAAGCTATAGCTGGATGATAGCTACATACCAAAATTTTTTTGATAGCGATTTTATTACGATATAACGGTAGCTACAATAGTCTGTGAGTCTTTAGCTTATTAAGCTAGCTGTCCTCGTAGCCTGTCTTTATCTTTACAAATTTCGATAGCTTTTCGCTAACTTAAAAAAGTTAGCGATCCTCGTGACCAAATCGCTGTCTTAATCGTAACGATTATAGCTAGCTATTCGCTAGCCGATTTCCCACCGGGTATAAGTCAAATTACTGGAAATAGTAAATTAAAATTATGCTCTGTGCCTAACACTATATTTTTATATGAGCCCAAACAATTAGTATAAGAATTAAATAAATATTTGTTGTTGTGTCAAAATGTGTCTGTTGGCCCAAATTTAGCTAAAAATATTGCAAATATAATTTATCCAATAAATGATTACGTGTTTCCATTAATCTCAAGTTTAAATAAATTTAAAGTATCTTCTTCAGAATTTGAAAGTGCTCTTAAATAGCTTAAAACTAATAAAGCAGTTGGTTCTGATGATATAAATTGTAATATAGTCGTAGATTCAAACGATACCATTAAACATATTATTTTTAAAGTTTTTAATAGTTCTATAAATCAAGGAATTTCCCCGATCAATTGAAAATAGCCAAAATAACGCCTACATTTAAAGGAGGTGAACCATCAAATGTCAGTAATTATCAACGAATATCTATTCTCTCTGTTTTTTTAAAATTTTTTAGAAAGAATTATCTTCAACCAAATATGTAATCATCTTGCTGTTAATAATATACTTTACATAAATCAATACGATTTTAAAAGATATAACTCCACTGAACATGCAATAATTCATCTTACTCGTAGTATAACTGTTTCATTCGAAAAGTCAGAGTTTACTTTTGGCGTCTTTAAAGACTTATCTAAGGGTTTTGACACAATTGACCGTGAAATACTGTTTAAAAAACTTGAACATTATGGTATCACCAATAATGTTTTAAAACTACTAAAAAGCTATTTAAAACTGTCGACGGATCTTTTTCACAAGATTATCTAAAGATAGATTATCTAAATACAACCTGTGGAGTTCCATAGGGATCTATTCTAGGGCCCTTATTATTTCAAATTTATGTTAACGATCTCCACGAAGTCTCAAAATTAACAACTATAATGTTTGCTGATGATACAAACCTATTCCTATCTAATAATAACATCAATAAACATTATTATATGAATATTGAACTAACAAAAATATTTGACTGGTTTAAGTCATATAAACTTTCACTCAACATTGATAAAACTAAATAGATTTTCTTTCATCCACGAAAAAAACATTTACTTCCAAGTAATATGCCTCTTCTTCATATTGATATTATTCAAATAAAAAGAGTAATTTTCCCAATATTTTTAGGTATCATTGTAGATGAAAGTTTATCATGGAAGAATCACATCGGAAATTTATGCAACAAAATTGCAAAAAGTATTCGAGTTTTATATAAAGCAAGAAGCGTTTTAAACAAACATTCATTAACTCAACTATATTACTCTTTTATACACTGTCATATTAATTATGCTAATATTGCATGGGATAGTACCCATAAAAGTTAATTAAAGCCACTTTATTGTCAGCAGAAGCATATTGCACGTCTTATAAATTTCAAAAATCGTTTTACTCTCTCAAGGACACTCATATTTAACATGAATGTTTTTAATATATATAAAGTAAATGTTTATAATGTTCTTTGTTTTATGTTTAAATGTAAAAGCAACTCATCTCCAGCTTCCTTATTTGATTTATATTCTTTAAAAGAAAAAAATAAATATTCTTTAAGAAATAATAATTTTATTAAACAACCAAAATTTCGAACAAACTTTGGTAAAATTTGCATTTCTTTTCGTGGAACTTTTTTATAGAACCAAATAATTCTAAAAAATTTTGATTTTTCTCATGAGTGGAATTATTATATGTTCAAAAGAAAACTAAAAAAAGTAATTTTCTCAATTGAAAATATATTTATATACTTTTAATTATACCCAATTTTGTCATCATTCATCTACAGCTAATATCTAAAATTCGTGTGACCAATTTAATTATAAATGTTGTGACCTGGCAGGAAATGTGGCGTGACATTTTTTAAAGTGTACTAAATTATATGCTCATATAATTAAGTAGAAAAAAGTAACTGTAAAAAACATTTTTTTTTAAGTAACTTGGAGTACCTCACACGATTATGTTATTGTCGGAGCTGGATCTGCCGGATGTGTTTTAGCGAATCGTCTTTCAGAAAATCCTAATAACAGTGTTTTATCGTTAGAAGCTGGTCCTCAAGATGCATGGTGGAATTGGAAAATACATATGCCGAGTGCTATTCAATTTAATTTGTTTAACGACAAATACAATTGGTTTTATAATACAGTACCACAATCTCACATGAATAACAGGTAGTTTTTAAATAATGAATGTTTTATTTTTTATTTTCAAATATATCTTTTATGTTTATTATTTTATTTTAGTTTTAATAATCAAAAAAAATAATTTAACTTATGTAAAAATAATGTAGAACAGCTAGATAAGAATACTGCTATAATTTTGCAGATTTTAATGGTTTAAAATTTAATGGTTTATAGATTCACGTTGTGATAATCATTAGAGTTAAATACCATACGAGAGGCCATAAATTGAAATAAATACCAAATCCCATTAAAGAGATATAGCTATATATAAAAAATATATGTATGATCTATATAATTTATAAACTATAAAGTTAACTTTATAGTTTATATTATATATATATATATATATATATATATATATATATATATATATATATATATATATATATATACATACATATATATATATATATATATATATATATATATATATATATATATATATATACATATATATATGATATATATATATATATATATATATATATATATATATATATATATATATATATATATATATATATGCATATATATTATTCATATACATCTATATCTCTAATGGTAATTGGTATTTATCTCTGAATAATTACGGTTTCATTTATGACCTCACTTATAGTATTTATCTTTAAAGATTATCACAACGCGAATCTATAAACCGTGAATATAAAAATAAAATAAAACCCATAGTCTTACCCAGCTGGCACACATACATTGGGTCAACGTATGTAAAACGTATTTTTTCTGTTGCAAATCCATCTCTGATTTAATGTCAAGTGTTTGGCAATATATATATATATATATATATATATATATATATATATATATATATTAGGGTGGTCCATAAAACAACTTTTTTGAGAAAAACCTGCTGACACCCCCTAAATGTGTTTTATCTAATGCAAAAACACTAGGTTTAAAATTTTTTTGAACAAAAATTATTTTTAGGGGTAGCTCAAGGCCCTCAAAAATTTGACGGGTCCCTAATATTTTGAAAAAAAAACTTTTTCTAAAGTATGTCAACCTGGTACTCAAAAGAAGCGATATTGTATAAAAACTTCAAAAATAATAATCATTTTACATAAAAAACATGCCTAAAAAAAATTATTCTCAAAAAACCTGAAAATATTGACTTTTTTTATTTTCAGCTTAAAAACAATAGTTTTTATGCATTTATACCTAAAAAAATTATTTTTATAAAAGATTATTATCATTTTTAAATTTTTTATATAATTTTGCTTATTTTGAGTACCAGGTTGACATACTTTAGAAAAAGTTTTTTTTTCAAAATATTAGGGACCCGTCAAATTTTTGAGGGCCTTGAGCTACCCCTAAAAATAATTTTTGTTCAAAAAAATTTTAAACCTAGTGTTTTTGCATTAGATAAAACACATTTAGGGGGTGTCAGCAGGTTTTTCTCAAAAAAGTTGTTTTATGGACCACCCTAATATATATATATATATATATATATATATATATATATATATATATATATATATATATATATATATATATATATATATATATATATACATATATATATATATATATATATATATATATATATATATATATATATATATATATATATATATGTATATATATACATATATATATATATATATATATATATATATATATATATATATATATATATATATATATATATATATATATATATATGTATATATATATATATATATATATATATATATATATATATATATATATGTATATATATATATGTATATATATATATATATATATATATATATATATATATATATATATATATATATATATATATATATATATATATATATATATATATATATGAACTTTATAGTTTATTATACAGGTCTATGTTTCTCAACCTACAGTTTGTTGTTCTTTTTCTGAATATTATTATAGCTAGGGTGAGCTTTTACCGAAAACTTATCGGTAATTGGTAAAATTATTTTACAGATTTACCGGTAAAATTATATCAATAAATTTCGGTAAATAATAATTTTTACTATACTAACCAGGTTCAGGGTCAAATGCGTACTTGTGTTTGGTGAAAATTGGCTGATTTGGCGTATTTGGACTCGTATTTTATTTTTTCCTGACATTTTTAGTAGTTCTTTTGTTCGATCTGCAATGTGTGAAAAATGTTACGTTTTTCTAAAAAATAAAAAGTAATCAATTTAGTCACGTTAAAGTTTACAGCTAGCATAAGAAATATACTCCCTGGATGATTACATTTTATTGAAAAATTAGTCAAAAATGACGTTCTGAAAGTAGAAATCAAGAAACAGCACGGAAAAGAGGTTTCAGCACGGAAAAGAGGGAATCTTTTTAAAAAAACTTTTGTGAACAGACTGAAACAACCAGACATAACTCTTTGCATAGTAATGACGAGTTCAATTTTGTGACGCTTTGAAGAGAAAAAACAGAGAAATCTTGTAAGTTTATACAGATATCTTTCTAATCCAGAACGTTTATCTGACATTGAAGAAAATGAGGTTTTTATAGTGCCTTTGAAGTCTGAATTTCAAAAGACTGCCAAAAATTTTGCTTTCTAGACTTTTTCCAACAAATCCATATGACTTAAAATTCATTCAAGAAATGTGTTGCTTAGAAATCTTGATGAAAATTTATATTCACAAAGAAACTCGAGAAAGCAGTTTCTTTATGTGAATAAAACAGTACAAAAAACAGTTCAAGCGACCAACTTAAGTTCATTTCAAAAGAAATGTTGGTCTATAAAGCTACTGGAAAGAGAACAGCTAATAATGAACTTTTCTTTAATGAAGTGGGGACTCCAATAAGTATTTAGCCTCAGCGAGTTTTGCCTCTGGATTATTGTTGGTTGTTTGAGGCAAAAACCAATCCACAATTATTGACAACCTGATATACTTTGTTTCCTCAAAGCTCAATTTTTATCAATAAAACAGTAATCAATAAATATATAAGATATAAATTTTTATAAAAACATTATGGTGTTTTTACCATTTTACCAGTTATTTAAAAGTCGATAAAAGCTCAACCCTAATTACAGCACTATATAGTGTTGATTTTTGCTAAAGCAAAATCAAACTATTATATATGGATACTAAAGAAATCAAAAAGTAAAAATTTAAAAACTAACTTTTTAAAAATTCTCAAAATTATATATAGAATATAAGTAGAACTATTTTGTTAGCACTTAGTTTTTCAGTACATTAAAACTTTAACTTACTTATCTAACATCGTGAAGAACTATGTAGATTTGAGGAACTTTTTCAAGAACTATGCGAAGAACTTTCTAGGTGTGCTTTTCACATATTCTTCAGTAACTTTACCAGTTTTTAGTTTTATCAGTGACTAAAAAGGTAGTCTATGAACTTTCTTCTTTTCACAAGAAATAGCAAATTGTGAAGTTGTAACCATTTGATTTAAAAATGGAGTAAAAATTTTACTTTAAATTTCACTGTGTTGGTCAATCAAACTAAAAGACAAACTTATTATAGACCTGAAATGTTTTATGATTACTTTGATTTGCAGTATTTTTTTTTTGTGAAGTTTTTTTTTTTGTGAAGTTTTAACATCCTTTAAAAACTTAGATATTTTAATCCAGATTTTCAAGGGAAAAGGAATATTATTCTTAATGTGATTTAAACGATATGATAATTACAAATTGTATTTCTAGAACACTATATTGGCCACGGGGTAGAGTATGGGGTGGATCATCAGCACTTAATGCAATGGTGTATATACGTGGACACCCTCAAGATTTTGACCGATGGGAAAAAGAAGGTGCTAAAGGATGGTCATATAAAGATTGTTTGCCATACTTTAAAAAGGCACAAAATCATTCTTTAGGTATTTTATACACATTAATTTCAGACTAAATGTTGCTTTAAAACTTGTGTAATAACTGTTTTGTTTAAATTTTTTGTTGCTACTATATTCATTTAGGAACTTTGCTACCAGTAGATTCAACTTTGCTACAGGTAGATTGAGTTTTGCTACCGGTAGATTCAATTTTGCTACCGGTAAATTATCTGTTATTTTTTATTTAGTTAATTTTTCTTTATCAAAGTTACCCGAATTTTTTTTTTATACATCAATAAAAAAGGGTCATTTTTTTCTTTTGTGGATCTCATTCTAAAAATATAAATTTAGAATTCATTCGTTTATTCAGAAAACACCTGTGAGGATCTTGTATTTCTGTGAGAATCTTGTATTTCAAGAGAGTCCTTAGAATTTGTTTTACATAAGAACATTTTTTATGTAAAGGGTAAATTTAAACATAAATTAATGATATATGCGCAAAAACATTTTACATCTACGTTTTACAAATATTTTTTTGCATTTGTTGTCAGCGAATTGCTTACCATAAGAAATTTGGTCTAAAAATGATAAAAAAACTCGTAAAATAACAATTTTACGAGTTTTCAAAGAGAGACTCCTAAAAGCACTCCATAAACAAAATAAAATTAAAAATAAATGTTTAATTTCTATAATTAATAAACTGTTAGTTGAGAACATGCTTGTCTTTGATTCTTTTTTAAACTAATTCAAAGATTTGGAGCTCACTACATTCATTGAGATTTGTTAATTCAATGTGACTGTATGCATTGCAACAAATGCTCAAATACAAATTAAGATAGCAAAAAATAATAATGAAAAGAAAAAAATACATTTAAAAAAAATGATAATATCTATAACCAGCTTGATATTTTCATAACTTTTTAAAGAATTTAAAAACTTTAATTTGAAATTGTCTTCTTTAACAGTTAAAAAAGCAGCTATAACAATAATAAATTACTTTATAAATTACTTTAAGACATTAGAGTTAACTTTTTAAACAATCTTTGGTCAAGCACTTTTAGGCGCTTCTGTTATTATTATTATTTTTTTCAAATATACGATTTTGCATCTAGTTTTATTCATGTGTGCCCATTATCAGGGGTGAATCCGGCATATTTAGGTCTTTAAGGTAGTTAACTTCCAGACATGGAGCAAACTCCAAACATTTTCATGTTCATACTTACTTCAAATAATAATGCAAAAAATTATGATGATCGGAGCATGGGAACAAAAAAACCCTAAAATTTTTAGTCGCCCTGCCTCAAACATGAGAGCAATAAGTTGATAAAATATATTTTGTACTATTCTTAACAAGCCTTTTATTTATCAATTAATTTTAAGTTTCATAGTATAATTTTTAACAATATAAAATTAACAATAATTATTAATTAAAAACCTACTTAAATTACAAATCTCTCAACTTCAAAAAACAATTCAACATTTTACGCAATATAATCATACTTCTCCTTGACCTTTAAGAGTCATACAAGTAGTAGTGAAGATATTGTTTTAGAAATGTCTTTCTCTTAAGCAAGTTGTTGGAAAGGCACCTCTTTTTCCTGAAGATATGGTTGAGAAAAACGTCACTATAGTGTTCATTATTTTACAGAAGCTCTTTACAATTATTGCTTTTAGTATACTATTGTTTTTTTCCGAAATTCCTTTCAGAGTAATAAACTGCTCAAAACACAATACGTATTATATACGTATTTCACAATACGTACTTCCAAACTATTAAAGAAACTCCTTATTTTATCAGTCTTATATGTTGCCTCATTATCAGTTAATACTTCAGATTTGAAAAACACCACCCATCGCTTAAAACTTTCATCACTCCACAACTTACATAGCCAAAATACTATAAGCTGAATTGCAACTTTTAATCTCAGGATAAACTTTTCTTTTCAAAAGACTACAAACACTTCGTTACCAACAAAACGCAAGTAAATGACCCAAAAATTGTCTGCAATCTAAAAAAACACAGCTAGCTTGGTTAATATTTTTGATATTTCTTCAACTCGATTCCCTCTCGACTACATCAGTTTGTCACCAGCTTTTTGCACACATAAGAACAATACACGGACCCAATTATTATCAATCTGTTCACTTAGATCGGTCAAAGGATTCAACTGAAAACAGGTCTTGCGTAGATCCAAGATTGCTGGTTTGTTTACAATTTTACTCCTTTCTCTCAATTTATCAACGCATGCATCTGTGTATATACGCCTTTGTATACGCCTCAATAAAGTTTTTAAGTTCTTTCCAATCCTTAACAGGTCAAACATTATTGTCCTTGTTTCTTTGAAACACAGCCATAAAATTAGGTGTCTTTTGGGTTGTTCCATAACATTCCAAACACACCGCCACATCAACAAAAAGACATTCATTTAGAAAAGCGAACCAGTCTTAATCAAAATCAAAACAACCTTAACTTCAAAGAAATTGTTATTAAAGAAATATCTGTAAATGAAATTTTGTTAGTTTTTTGGTAAGTTTTTTGCAAACTAATTTGCCTATTTCAAACTAACTTATCTAACTCAACCGAGTAAATATGTTGTTGCGCATTTTAAGTTAAATTTTCATTTTGTTGTCATTATTTATTCTATTGTCACGCCTTTGTAATACTTAAGTAACTCGTTTCGCTTGATCCAATTTTGAATTTCGTCTTCATATTCCACGTCAATATATTTTGTATGAGAGTTATAACAAAGAGTAGCCTCCTCATCTGTAGTGGTTTTCTCAAATTGAATAACAAAAAAAAAAAAAAAAAAAAAACTTGTTTATTAATTTGATTTTTGGACAAAAATTTGTGATTTAAAATTGTCTTTAAACATCCCGTTTCCACAACAGCCATTGGTACCACACTATTAATTTTCAAATGAATAATAAATAATAGACTGATTCTACTGTTCTTCAGAAACAAAGTTACGCTAATTACTCGTTCCAGCTTTTGTTTACCTGCATCTTTAGGGATCTCGAAGCCTCGTGTTTTTCTTTACCGCATTTAAAACACTAAAAGATTTTTTTGGAGACAACTTCTTTATAAATAAAAAACTCTTTGCATTTACCCTGTTACCCTGGTAACCTTTTGCATTTGTGACACAAAAAATAAATTTTTGTAGCTCTCACTTTTGGGTTTGGCAATTCAAACCCAGTCTTCTGAAAATTTAAGGAGAAACCAAATCATTTTACGCAATATAATTACAAGTGAGAAATAGGTCTGTTTCTGCATTACTGGTGCCTCAACTCTTATAGCCAGCATTTTGATCGGTGTTTAATTTATTTTGCTGGCATTATTTCTTTTGCAGACAAAATTGAGTTCTATGCCAATGATGAAGAGACAGACTAAACAATGTCTTTGTCGGCAAGTTTAGTTGGAGTACATTTTTGATAAGTTGAATAAAACATTTTTGATATTTTCGACAAATTACAATTTGATAAGTTTTGATAGGTTGATTGGAATGGTTTTTTTTTAAGTTTCTAGACAAGTATTTAGTCTTTATAATTCGCTGATATCATTATGAAGTTTGTTAGATACTCATATGAAACTTCATAATAACCTAGACATCTTTCTTATATCTTATTTACATTACTAATCTATTTAAAAAGTTTTGTACCTATGATAACTATGTTTGATAGCATATTTCTATCTCCTCTATATATTCAAATATTTCTACCTCTTCTATAAATTCACATATATCTACCTTTTTAATATATTCACATATTTCAATCTCTTCTACCTACTTGCAAATAGAAAAAGGAATGTTTTTGTTTTAAAATATATTTGCAATTGTTATTTTTAGTAAATTAAAATTAAATAACTAGTTATTTTTAATGACTATTTACTTTCTTACGAGTAATTTAGAGTTCTTTTGTTTATTTAATTTATTTTTTCTATATTTTATTTCATGTAGGTGAAGATCAGTATAGAGGTGGAAATGGTCTTTTACATGTAACCAGAGGCTCAACAGAAAATCCTCTCCACCAAGCATTTCTGCAAGCAGGTCAACAAGCTGGTTACCCATATACCGAAGATTTTAATGGATATCAACAAGAAGGTATGGGAATATACGATAGAACTATTTACAAAGGAAAAAGATGGAGTACATCACAGGCTTACCTTCACCCTGCATTGAAAAGAAAAAATTTAGATGCTCAACATGGGGCTTTTACAACCAAAATTTTATTTGAAGGTACAAAAGCAATAGGTGTTGAATATGTTCAAAACTCTGAGATTCGAAAAGCAAAAGCAAACAAAGAAGTGATATTGTCTGGAGGAGCCATTAACACCCCTCAATTAATGATGCTATCAGGCATCGGAGACCAAGAAGAACTTGCTCATCATGGTATACAATGTGTTGCGCATGTTCCAGGAGTTGGAAAGAATTTGCAGGATCATCTTGACGTATACATTCAACAAGTAAGTATAAATTTTTGTATGCTATGCTTAATATACTAAAAATTGATCGGTAAAAATGGTAATATTGAATAATTTACTTCGACTGACGCGATTAAATATTATTTGTAGTATAAAAGTCTTAATGTATATATATATATTATGCGAATGGTCAGTTTTTGTTTCAAATCGAATCTCGAATCAAAGCAGGTCTTGATTCGCAATTCGAATCACGTTTCGAATTAATATTTTGAAGTCTAAATTTAAGCATTTTTTATTTAATAATATATATTTAAAAATAAAATAAAAAAAAACAATCTTGCCCAGGTTAACCTTTTAATGACTAATTAAAAAGGTACTTAAGGATAAGTAACGTTATTTTGATTGCGCCAAAGCGCAAAATATCTAAAATACCCACAACAAAAACAAAATAAGTAAGGATTCGAATTTTTGAAAATTTTTGAATCGTATCTCGAATCATATTTTTAATTCGATTCGTTTCGAAATTTTGAAGCTTCGCAGGGTGCTAATATATATATATATATATATATATATATATATATATATATATATATATATATATATATATATATATATATATATATATATATATATATATCAAAGGCTGATATATATATATATCAGCCTTTCCTAGCTGATAAATATCTGTAGGACCAATCTTGTTTCTCTGGTCACGAATATATGCCCTGTCTTCAAAAGGGACCTTAAATACAATTATTGAAAATAATCAACTACTTCAGTTTAATTGAAGTGAAATAAGTATATATAATTAATAAATAATTGCAGTATAAGACAACAAATATTTTAGTATATACAATAATATATAAAAAATGTAACCAAATACCTTTCTAGTTTTACAAAGACACAAGATGCGCTCAACTTGGCAATTGATGATGCTACACTTAACATCTCTGTCATTACATAAAACAGTTGCTAATTCACAAGTACATGATGAAATATTAAACTTTGATATTTTATCATAGATAAACTCTTTGATAATCAAAGAGTTTAAAATCAAATCTTGATACTCCTTACTTTTAGATTTACAACGTCCTCGGTTTATAGATTTTACTCTTTCAAAAAAATTTCGTAATTTTCTTAAAATTGAATTTCTCTGAAGAAGAGGAAGACGTGGGTTTACTTTATTCCACAAAGTACTAAGAGAATTTTCAACCTCTTCTAGTAGATTCTGTTTTGAAATGTTTTGGTTATTGTTTTCAGTGAAATAAAAAAAACTGAATTACTTGACGAAATGTTGGAAGATTAGCTGAAGGCATTTTTGATGGGAGACCTCCGTATTTCAGACTATTTTCGTAACGAGTTTTTCTTGATTTGCTTTTAGGCATTTTTTCTATAAATTATTTGCTATTTGTAAATATAATTTAAAAGCAACAAAACAACGCGCAATACACATGCCCAATTTGAAAAAAAATCGGCGGTTTTCCACAAAAATAGATTGTCTTAATAAATGTACATTTTTGTAAACCAGCCATTTTCCAGGCATTATTAGAAAATACATGTTATACATATTATTATTATTTTTTTGATAAGTTTAATTATGCTGTGAGCATATATAAGTATAAGTTTAATTTTGCTGTAAGCATATATTCAGCAAGAGTGCTCGATGAATGATATCAGAGCTATATAATTGATTTTTTTGACGAGATTAAATAAAAAATAACTACATAATTTTTACTACTAAAAGTTTCATGCGTTTAGCAATCAACAGGTAAAGCTTTGTATGAAACTTTTAGTAGTACAAATTATGTAGTTATTTTTTATTTAATCTCGTCAAAAAAATCAATTATATATATATGTATATATATATATATATATATATATATATATATATATATATATATATATATATATATATATATATATATATATATATATATATATATATATATATATATATATATATCAGGCGCGGATCCAGCATTTTTTGATGTTTGAGATAACTAACTTCCAGACATGGTACAAACCCCAAAAATTTATATGTTTATACTTATGTCAAATAAAGATCATTTGCAAAAAATTGCGATGATTGGAGTCTGGGAACAAAAAAGCCCCAAAATTTTGGCCACACAAACCCCAAACAAGAGAGCAACAAGTTGATAAAATATTTTTTGTACAATTCTCAAGTAAATTTATATTCATCGATAAATTCTAAATTTCATACAATAATCTCTTAGTGTTCAAAAATTATAATTGCACAAAGCTTTAACCCCCCTCAATTTGAGGGGGTTACAAATTTTGTAAGGTCATGTTTTTTGAACACTAAGAGATTATTGTATGAAATTTAGAATTTATCGATTAATATAGATTTACTTAAGAATTGTACAAAAAATATTTTATCAACTTGTTGCTCTCTTGTTTGGGGTTTGTGTGGCCAAAATTTTGGGGCTTTTTTGTTCCCAGACTCCAATCGTCGCAATTTTTTGCAAATCATCTTTATTTGACATAAGTATAAACATATAAATTTTTGGAGTTTGTTCCATGTCTGGAAGTTAGTTATCTCAAACATCAAAAAATGCTGGATCCGCGCCTGTATATATATATATATATAAATAAAAGGAAAGGTTAGGTAGTCTTGAACGGCGGGTAACTCCGGATACTTGATGTACAGCTTAAACTAAAAAAGCTATGTGACTTTAAATACTATAAAAACATTATTTGAGTGAAAATATTGCATATGTAAAATATCTATCATAGTATGCCAAAGCGATTGGCTTGTAGTGCAAGATATTGTTTCTCACCACCACACAGTGGGACAGAATTCACTTTTACTGGACAAAATTCATACCTAATTTAATTTTAGGGCTATATTCATTAAAATTAACATGAGTACTAATATCACGTTTGCGCTTTTAATGAAGGTAATTTTTTTTTATTTCGTTGCTATGAACAGGGCCGGGTTAGGTACTTCTCGGCCTCCCGGCACTTCTGCCGGGAGGCCGAGAAGTCTTCTGGCTCTTAGTATTAAAATTTAACAGCGGTTTAAAATTAAAAAATTTTTTGTATTTGTTGCGCTATGGCTTTATAATGTATTTTCTTTTGTATTTAAACAAGCATCCCGCGTTATTTATTATTTAAAACACGTTGCGATTAGTATAGGTTTTAAACAACTTTTGTCTGCATTTTAAGTTTGCAAATGCAGATATGATATCTTCTAGGTCGATGAAATCCAAAACCAGGTTTTTTATTTGAAAAAGTGAAAGATCTGAAAGACCTTCCTGACCTATTAAATAATGAGTGAATAGTTTTGGAATGTATTCGGTAAGAACGTTGATCTTTTTAGTTCTTGCTTGTAAACCAAAGAAGATTCCTGGCATATTACTGTCATTGTCATATGACTAGTTACGGTAATTTTGAATGTTTATCCCATAAAAATCTAACTTTTTAAAAAATGATTTCAAGCATAGAAACTGCAAATTGATTATGCATGGGAATAACTGCTAAGAACCACTCAACTGGTTCTCCATTTTGTAAAACATAACACAGAATAAAGCAAAGTTGGTCGGTGTGCGACTTATCAATAGGATTGTCAATGATTGAGTAATATTTTGCAATTTTGATTTTGTTAACTTTGAAATTATGTTTGAAGTAAATAAAAAATGTATACTACAACAAGTTACTTTAGGATGATCCTATTATCTATCAGTTCTAAAACTTTGGCAGCTATCAAGTGTATGAGTTCTTCGCAAATGTCTTTAGATAATTTTTAGGTACTTTCCTTTCCTTTGTTTCCATGATTAATCAAGTGTTGGGCGAGTAAAGGACTAAATTTTCCTAATAGCTCAATACATCCAATAAAATTTTCCGTTGCGTATCAATGCTAGTTTTTCGTCTGATTCTATGAATGATAATCCTCTGAGAATGAATAATAAATAAAATATCTATAAATATTATTTTCAATTTTGAAAAATATTTAAGCAGCATTATTACGTAATAAGTGATATCAAGTGATAAGTGTGATTCAATTAAAGTATTTATAACTATTAATTAAAATTTATGTATTTAAATTTTCTATATATTACGCACAAACCTAGAAAAGAGATGCTTGATAACTTCGATTGTTCGTTGTAGAGCTGGGGTCCAATACTCTTTTTCAGTCTGGTATTGCTTGGTAAACTCTAAATCTATCCTTCTCTTGACTGCTTTTTCCAAGATAAAATTGCGACAATGATATGAAAGTGCTCTATGATCTGCTCATGTTCACTAAAGAAGGTTTTGGAATGTTGCCAGTTCCGGAATCCTCTTTTTTCACTTAAGCTGCTCTTCGATTTTCCAAAAAAATAGCAAGGTACACAGTTCATGCTTCCATTTTCTTTTGAAAATTGAAGCCAACTTCGTAATAATTTTCCTCCTTATTTGTTTTTCATTCTAAAGAAAAGGTCTGAATGAGCGAGAAAAGGTCTGAATGAGCTCGACGAAATTTGCCTTTAAAATCATAGTACTCTGAGGATGAGCAGTCAATTTTTTCTATATTTATTTTTGGTGGATTTCACAAGATATGGTATATCAACTCCAAGTTGTCACGGTTACAATTAGCAGAATCGCTGAAGTTATTGTTGCTTTGATTACTATTTGATTTAACAGCCGTGGCACAGTGGTAGCGCACTTGCCTCAGAAACAAAGGATCCGTCGTTCAAGCCCCACATCTGGGCAAGTTTTGCGACATCGGTTAGAAAGGAGACGTGAACTTCCTATTAAATGCTCATTAGCGTTGCTTTGCCATAAGATCGTAAGGAATTCTTGGGGCACCTAAATTAAAAATAATAAAAAAAAATTAGGCTCAACGAGGGTCATTTGAACTATGCAGAGAATCAACGCGCTCTTGCGTCTGTGGTTCCTGTGATTCGTAGAGCAAAGTGTAGGCATTTTTATTTTGAGTTTTATTAAAAACTGGAGAAGGGACTGATTTGCAAAAAGGACAATATTTTTCCTGATCTTTTAAAATTTAAGAATTTTTCAGATTTATTTGCCTTCTAGTAATTTAA